AAAAAAAAAAAAAAAAAAAAAAAAATACTCACGACGCGCGAACTTGAGAAACGCAAGAAAAAATAAAATACACGTATTAAGACACTCTTCCATTACCCAAAATAATATGACAGTCAGAAAAGTATCGCATATCTTCCACAGGGAATCTTTTCGTAAACAACTGAAGAAGCTGTGATTCGAGGAAGGAAACTCATCGAGGAAATAAGATTCTCGCTACAGCGAAACAAAGAACGTCAAGTTGAGCGATACAAATTATTAGGTCTGTAACAATACCAATTTGGCAGCGAGCTAGCCGGTTGGCTGGCTAACAACGTCCAGCGTCGACCCTTTGGGACAAGCAAGGGGTTATTGCTGGAGTTTCTTCGACTAAGCACGCGACACGTTAGTTCAGCGCAATTCCCAGCCCTGAACGCAGCCAATTGCGGTAATGCGTTGGCCAACCAGGGAGGATAAACATTTTTAGCCGTCTCCTCCTCTTAAATGATCATTATTTCGAGAGGAAACAACTGGTGCCGCGTTTTGTTTCGTATTTGCGTCGTTCCTCCGGAGATATCGTGCAACCAGTCGTCTGAAATTGCGTCTAATCTCCTTGCTTAATAAAGGATACTTAACATTCTGGTGAATTAATAGAACGCCTTGAACGTTTCCGGAATACGGTAGAGAATCGCAGGACAGGTTTCATAAAGAGGAGTCACGGTGCTGTTATAATTACACCGCTTAAATAATTTCTTTGCCTCTAGAAAATTGCCTAAAATTAGTTTCTTGAATGTATTTAATAGACGACTGATTTTGCAACTATAAATTAGAAGGGAAGTTATCGTTTCTTGGTGGAAGAAAATGATGTGAAAGTGATGGCATAGAAGTGTACGAAAGTGTGAATTAAGTTTTAATGTTATAAAAAATGATGTAATTATTTTTACGGAAGTAGTTTTTAGCAAGAAAAATATCAATTGATATTTGTATTAAGAGTCTAGAGTATTGAATATACTATTACTTTTCCTTTTTCTCGCCTCCTTTATCATTTTATCACTTTCCCTGTAAGTGTACATCTGTGCCAATAATGTTTTGACTCACAGTATATTACATTTCCAAACTTTCTCAACGCGTTACAGTGCGTGTGAGTTATGCACTCGACGAATTTTTTGCTCATTGACCGAAAGTACTCCATTTATCGAGTAAAAGTTTCCACGTTTTCCGTGAATTCTAGAGCGTGACAATTAACATGAGCGATTCAAAGAAAAATTTTTTCTTCCGCGTTTAACCACTCTAGTTTCCTCTCTATTTAATTCCAATGCTCGTTTAAATTTTCTTTTTTTCTTTTAGGAATCTTAAATTTATCTAAAAGTATTTCTCCCGAAAATTTCTGCGTGTTGCAGAAAATCTGGCGATCTGAAGAAATTGTATAATTTGTTCTTCTGTGCTTAGCTGCCAATTTTTCTCTCTGTTTAATTTCAAGGCTAATTTATTTTCTTTCAGGATTTCAAAACTATACTAAAATCGAGACTTTCAGTCGATGATTTATGTACATGTGTAGGTGTTTAGAGATCGTAACGGAAGGAAACGATTTTCTGCTTTGTTTTCAGGCGGAAGTCGAGGTTGTGGAACAATACAGCGACCCCAGGGATAGCAAGAACAAGGCGTACGTCGAGCCAGGAGCTGAGACGTCTCTGCCAACGATCTACAGCAAAGTAAATCGCAACTATTGTCGACCTTATACGGGTAAGTGGTGCATAACTTTCGTGTTATACTTGTGCTTGCGATGTGACAGAAGTTTACCACCTTGCCAACGCGTATTTCGCCGCAAAAGGCTACTAAAAGACCTAGCTTAGGATACTTTATTACTCGTTTCAATTCTATTAAGGCTAGGAATGAGAAATAAAAGGAGTAATAATTTTTCATGAATAGTAGATTGAAATTATTAGATCGTTTCGGAAGTTTTGTGGTTCTTTCGTTATCAACTTTTCATGCATTTTAGTTCTCTGTCCGTGAAAGATACATTAACTCTTAGATGTCTATTTTCCTAATTATTCAGTTTGCAGTAGGTGCAAATATCAAGAAGATCAAAATAGTAAAAAAGAATGGTAACTGAAAGTCCAATTCTACAAATGTGAATTGAAGAGAAATTTCCGGAAAATATTAATATTAAACTATCATATTCGGTTTTTCTGCAAACTTCAAATTTAAGGACACGTGAAAAATAATTTTCGAGGTCTCTCGAAATTTTTACTAAATAATCAAATTCCAAGTTACTGAGATTTTATAAATATAACGAAAGTAAACTAATAGGAAAATCTCTAAAGAGAAAAGATAATGAAAGAACTGCGGAAAATACGTTGAAGACTGAATTCACAACGCTTTACTGTGATTCCATATCAAACTTTTATAAAACGACTTAAAATAAGGTAGAGTAGACTATGTTGGTTTAAAACTGATTTCGTAACATTTTTCAGCAGTAGTTAGTTGAGATACATGCACAATATATAATGTATAAGAATGTATAATAAGTTTGAAGGACTAATACCGAAAGTTCTTAAGAGGATTTACGTGGCGCAGATAACATCACATGTGCTTGTCTTACATATTTTAAAATACAAGAGCTCGAGGCGGACACTTGTACCCGAGGTTTTGGAGATGTAAAAGTAGGTTGGATCGAGTGATTAGATGTAAAGTCTTGATAAGCGTATGGCTTTGTAAGTTTCAAACGATAAGTTGTTAGATCCTGAGAGTTTTAGTTTTCGAAGCAAGAAAGCAGAAAGTGTATAAAATACTCTGACTATGAAAAATTTAGTTGGTTACATTGGTTACGTGACAAACTTAACTTCGCTAGAAAAAAGGTAAAAAAAAATAAAAAGGCAGACTTCTCGAGAAGAATTTTTTTAAATAATTAAATTATTAGACTTATTAACTAAGGAAGCTGAATTAATTTGTCTTTTCAAGAGTAAACGAATTAACTCTTTATTTAGGAATTCTCTATTTTGATACGTGTCGCTTCACTTCTGTTGCAAAATAAATTCTGCCATATTTAAGCGTACAAGATGTAAAATTAACCCAACTGAAACTGATTTGTATGTTGTATTTTAATTATGTAATTTGTAGAAGTTGCAAGTTAAAGCAGAACCCAGTTAACAAACTAAAAATTACGTGATGAGGACATCACGAGGCAAAACCACGAAAGATTCTCCACATTTTCTCCAACTTCGTTATAAATTTCACCAGCTAATTATCTGGTCTGTTTCTAAACGAAGCCCTTTAGATTTTCAATCACTGCATACACACTCCTCAAAAAAGCACCAAACTGGGAACCTTTAAATACCACTCCACTCTCCATATTTGCAAAACCAATATTTGCGTCGATATTACCAGATTCAGTGTGGAGTCTGGGGCGATACACGAACAGGCAGACCAATGATAAACCGCGATAAATGCGTGGAAATCCTAAAATGTGGGAAAAAGCAACGACGCATAAATTCTTGACACGATCTAATTAGTCGTTGGATTAAACGCGTTGATCAGTTAACAAACGAGACGTAACAGCGGTAAAATAAATAAACTTTAAATGTTGCTCATAAATCAGAAATTTAGCCTGGCGTCCGGATGATAACCAGCGCGTGTTTCCGGTTGTCCGCTTATCGATTGGTTCTGTATACTCCAGCCAACTTTCTGCCAAGCTTCTCGTCGCGTTTCTTCCTTCCAAATGTAGCATGTTTTCTCGCCAAACGCGTGATCGCATAATAATGCAGATCCTAGGACATGTTGCGACGCAAAGATTATTACGCGATGATTTGGGGCCAAAAGAGTTGGATTTATGATGAAGAATTCGATGGTTTCGTTCTATGTTGCAGTAAACGTGTAAAATCATTTATAATTTATAAACGCAAAAAATCGTTATCTGTTAAATAATATTTTTTAATTTAAAATTAGTTGAATACAGTATGATTGGGATTTTTGTTGATTATGTTGTAAAGTAATATTTAATAGATTTGAATTGAAAGTTAATTGCGCATAGTATGATCGGAGTTTTGTCAATTATGCTGTTATACAATATTTATTACACGTTCAATTAGTAAATTAAGTTAGTAAATAACTTAACACGAGAAAATATGAAGCGTTTTCATTGATTGTTTTATTATAAAAGACATTATACCGAACAGGTTGTGCATGAAATGGAACCATAGAATATCGCATTTAAATACATAATTTATTAAACTCTAAACTTCGATTTAACGCAGCAAAACTTGCTTCTAACGTTAATACAGTTTTAAATTTGTTAGTAGTATAAAAGGTACGTAGGAGAACGTTCAAAAAGTAGCACGATAATTCAAACGTCAATCTGGCTTCGAGGTAAAATCCGGATTTGGACGAAATCTATTTCAGATATCCATTTGGATGCAATCGTATAAATCACGTCCATGGCTCCAATTCTTGACGCAGCAGGATAATCTTAAAAACTCCATCCATTTGTAAAAATATTCTCGTTATTTATAGAGAAGGTGTAATACTATTTTGCCAAAGATTTTTATTGTATTAAAAATTAAATAGAGGCGAGTAATCCGTAATTGTCTGTTCAAATTAAGATTTCAATGGTACTTTGCAGACGATGGAGGATATAAAGTTGAATAAGAGATGAGATTGTTTCAGATAAAGTAGAAGTTGTTCTGACTCTTGAAAAAAGGATTAAGAGAATTGGCTTGTTACGTACCTTACATAAAAGCATGTACTTTATAGTCTTGATTATCGAGTTTTCTCTGTAATCCATAGAATTCTTTACGCTCATGCACCTTTCCTCTTTTTTCATCTTTCCGATTTAGGGATTACAACCAAACTTAAAATAAACTGAAACAGAAATAATTGACTAACTTATTCGTTCGTATGTCCAACATTGAAATTCATAAATCTATTGAATTTTACCTAATATAATGCGATTGAAAAATTCGTCAGGATTATGAAGTTCAAAGCCTTTTTAAAATTCCAATTTCATATAAATTCATAAATGAATAAAAACACATTCGTTATCGACTATCACATAAAATCTCCATATGAAACACGAAATGTACGAATGAGATTTCATACACAATTGTAACACGTTCAAATAAACAAATATCCGATGACAAAGAAATCGAAACAATTAATATTCCGATAATTAACATTTTATTGCATAGCCACGAGCATTTAAATATACAGAATCGATGATTTATTAACGGATTCCTTCTCCTGTAAATATTTAAAATCGTTACCACTATATGCGATACTTTTTCAATTCCGATTTCCATCGATGAGGTTAAAATTGAACTGACGCGACGCTGAAGTATCCGATCGAGAGGCTGTAAGTTTCGGATTATAGAGTTAACAGAAATTCCCGCGCCAAGCCGCAAATTAATGCGGCGAACCCCCGGCGATACGGCCGATACTTCGATGTACGAATTATCGAGGCAACAACTCAGTTAACGCAGAGTAAGAGAGGCGGAAGAGCCCCTCGATAATTGAACGGTGCACACAGGTTGGACGGGAAAGCCCGCGGATTAATCGAACGTTTTCGAAATGCGAGGGGACGCGTTTCTTGTCGAACATATCGCCGCGAGAAAGATTTCCACCAGTGTCAAGCACAAGTGAAACGTCATATGACAGATACGATTTTTGCTATTTATGTCGAATAATAATAATATTAACATTATATTTGAAAATGATCATGCTGTATTTAATAATTTAATTATACAAGTTGGTCATTCTAATATTCTGCACAATTTTTAATCACATGTGGCATTGTAATATATTTCTGTATTTCAGTTAATGAAATAGTAAGTTATTTGTCTAAGAATCAAAAGAGAAGTAGGCAGTGAAGAAATATGTAACACTCGTTGACAAGTTATCACATTTTTTGAAAAAGAAATTAAATTTGATTACATAATACGAACCTTCTTTATGACATTTTTAATTTATTTAATTCATTTCGTCCCAAATCTTATTCTTTTCATCAGTCATTACAACAATATGATTTTATTGATATAAATATAATATGATTTTCCACTGCTCCTCTTTACACCATGTATTATCAGATTTTGATACAATGAAAATATTCCTTCGCTAGAACGATATATCAATACGTTCGTTTAATTCGTTCCCATCAACGTCAATTACCCTCGATTTGTAATGATCTCACAAGGGGACCGCCTCATAAACTTTAGCCAGTCGTTAACCCGTTTCAGGGTAACAAGGGTCCAAAGCATCGTGGCACTGGAATGTCCGAAGTTCCGGTTTGTAATTAACCCCCGTAGTTATCTCGCGCGGAGAACGTAACCGAACCGAACATACAGAGAGACAAGGCAAATCCAACATTTCCCTATGTTACGTCCTATTTTAACGCTCGCCTATGCAGATTGTCGCGTTAACACAGACCCTGGGCAAACACGCCGGCTCAGATTTGCATTCTTACCATATTCATGGGGTTTTAATTTGCACGAACGTGGCGGGGATCAAGTTCGGCGAAAAGACCTGAGTAAACTTACCAGGGGTAAACGTTTGCCATCCTGGCAGAAGCACGTCGGCCAGTAGGCAACGAACACGCCTCTTTGATACGACTTCTTGCCCCGATACGACGGGCATTCTAATCGCAGAGAACGATGTTTGCTCTCGAGGTCAGACCGTTTCCGTTTGCGGCGTTATACATAATGGATGATAGGTGGAAACTAATCGCTCGGTGAATCGGCCAGGGAGGGTGTATT